TGTGCATCTAGTACACTTAATGACTAAGTTGTTTTGGGGGGATTTGGGTGGGCAAGGCTCTATATGTTTTGTTGATTTATTGCCTTGCTCTTACATTGAGATGATTTAAAATGAAGTAAAGATGAAAAGTTATATAGCAGTGCATGATTTAATCTTAGACTAGCAAATTGAGCTAAACTAGTTAAAAAACCAATCTCCCCCCCCCCCCCCCAAATAACAAGCCCCCGTGCAGTAAACGTATGCCATCATGCATATCAGATGGTCAGTGCAGTGGTAATAACCTTCCACCTACCTTGTTGTCTTAACTCTTTATATGCTTTGAAGCAAACAGCAGAATGACATTATTCCCGCCTTTAAAAAAAATTGTTCTGGAACTTGATTTTGTGCTATTCCTTAGTTTTTATCAGATGCACTTCAACATTACGAGTCTTCATCACCTTGCTCATTCAATACTGTAAATTGATGTACATAAACTATATAGGATGAAAAGAAAGAATTTGAGATAAACTGGAGAAGAGTTGCTACAACAAGCTTGTTTGGCTTTGCATTTGTTGGGCCAATTGGTCATTTCTGGTTAGTTATTTCTCTCATACTTGAAGATCCCGTATATGCTAATTTTTATTCCAGATGAAAATATCTGTGTACAGAGGGTGAGTTTTCATTTCCTTCTTTTCAAAGAATGGCATATATAATTAAATTGTTACTTTATTACGATTGTATTAACAAGTTTTAACTGACCAACTTTATTTGTGCACTCATCTGACCTTTATCTTTTTACTTCCTGAATATTAAATTTTTGCAATCTCCGTATAGTCGCCTTGTCACGTGCCTACCAAAACACCCTTCTCCTGTATCCTAGCTTGGGATAAGATAAAGGTAGAGGTTGCTGTGCGACTGTGGTAGACGCGTGACGAGGTGAGTATATGAAAACTGGATTTATTTAATATTTAGGAAGTAAAAGGATGGTCAGATGAGTGCATAGAGAAAGTTAATCTGTTAAAGCTTGTTAATACATGCATAACAAAGATTGTATTAACATGTCAATTCATGTTATCCAACCCCAAACTCTTTTGGACTAAGGCTTGGATGTTGTTGTTGTCTCCTTATAGTCACCTACACGCAATGAGAATATGCCTTGAGGCCAAGGAGCCCACTGAGCTTTTGAAAGTTTTCAGTGATCTCTTGGCAAGTTTATAACTAATGATGTCAGTTTTTAAATGACATAACATCAAATAGAATATAATTTCATGATAAAGATAATTACTTTTTCCTCCAAAGAAATAAGAGTTTTTGCCACTTTTAGTCCACCGACTTTTCTGTTAGTGACACCTTTGGTATTTGGCTTTTAATTTTTTTCATTTTTAGTCCTTCGACTATTGTGTCGGCTATTGTGCGAGAGACACTTATAGTCCCAAACATCAAAATTTCCCACATTTAATCCGCATAGTATTGTCAAATTGACACTTTTAGTCCTTCCACTATGATTTTGGCACAATAAATAGAAGACTAAAAATGTCACTATGATAGTAGTTGAGGGACAAAAAATGTCACTTTTATGAAAATCGAAGGACAAATTATGGAAAAATTTAAAGACAGGTACTAAAAGGGTCTTTCGCACAATAGTCGAATGACTTTGAAAAGTTAAAACTTAAAAGTCGAGTACTAAAAGTGTCACTGCCATTATAATGGAAGAAATAACATGAAACAAAAGCTATTTTTTATAAAAAAAGGATTGTTTTGACCTATGAAACTATGAAAGTAATTGTATTGAGTCACTTTCTTTGTCTGAGTCATGTTCAATGAAGTTACATTTTTTTTGTTGGGGGGGAGGGGAAGCCTGCAAGGTACAATTGTTGAAAGTCCTAAAAATCATAGAAACTAATAATCCAACCTTTTAGCGGTCTTCTTTCAATAATCCCACCTTTTGATTATTCATGAATAATCCAACCTTTGCACCTCATCTTCATTCATTGGTCCCTGGTCGGTTAATGACCTACTATTCCAAGTTATTTTCTTATCTTTCCAAAATATTATCTTTGTGGAAGATGAGATTTATGGTATAATGATTTGCAAAGATAAGAAAATAGCTTGGAATAGCAAGTCATCAACCGGTCAGGGACCAGTGAATGAAGATGAGGTGCAAAGGTTGGATTATTCATGAATAATCAAAAGGTGGGATTATTGATAGAAGACCGTTAAAAGGTTGGATTATTAGTTTCCATTTTTCCTACTTATATTTATGAGAATAAAATTTATTTGTGGGTAAATCAAAATATATCATATTTACCCGTTGTGAAACAAATCGACAACACTCTGTCGAGTCTCTGATATTCCAAAATGTGAACAGGTATGAAGGGTTGGATCGATATATGAGGATGGGGCTCCAATGCCAGCCCAAATCATTGAGATTTGTGGGAACGAAAGTAGCACTTGACGGGATAATTTTTGGCCCATTGGATTTGTTTGTGTTCTTCAGCTACATGGGCTTCGCGAGTGGAAAGAGCACTGCTCAAGTCAAGGAAGACGTGAAGAGGGACTTCCTCCCTGCCTTAATCCTGGAGGGAGGAATATGGCCAATTGTCCAGGTGGCCAACTTCCGGTTTGTTCCGGTCAGGTATCAACTCTTGTATGTCAACTTCTTTTGCTTGCTGGACAGCTGCTTTCTCTCATGGATTGAACAGCAGCAAGATGCTGCTTGGAAACAGTGGTTCACTTCCTTTCTGCAAAAAAAAGACGAAGGCCAAGATTTGTGATATTAATCAATGCTAATCAATAGGGATACAGAACTATGTTCTTGTCCAGGTACCAAAAAGAAAAATATGGCTTACTCGTATATTTTATCCTCCATATCCCACCACCACCACCCATTTGAGACTTGTGATAAATTTAGCAAGTTGGACAAATTTGAAGAGATGACAGGAAGCATCACGGCTGGCATTTGTAAACAAATAGCAGAATTGCTCTCAAGCTTTAATGCTTTTTACTAGTATTGTTTTTCTCTTGATGATCATGAAAATTTTGAAATGCCAAACCCGGCGGGGCACTTGTGTGGGAGAACTTAAATCAAGTTTTGATCACATGTTGGTGGAGAGAGTGGTTCACGTGTTTGCATGGAACTTTACGTGGAATATCTCTTTATTGGCACCATCTTCCCATTAGCTGAGTAAGTTGCGCACCTTGGGACTGTTTTACGTATGACTTAATGGGATTTAGGCTATGTTTGCCACACCATTTCAGCTCATAATGGGCTGAAATATTATCAATTCAGTCAATAATTTGAGAAAACGTCATGTTTGGCAAAACGGCTACACAAAGCTTAAGTGAGAAAAGTTGAGCTGAATTACAACGCTAGTGATCTAAATGTTTGTGTTCAGACGATTCTACATTGCGCTTGTTTTCCGGAAATAACCCCATGACCTTCTCTTCTACTTCGGTACATCTGTTGCACACCACCACTTTTTTACTGCATTTTTTTGCTTTATTTTATACTCAATTGCTATAAGCCTATAATGTCATCCTCTATCAATTTTCACTTTATACCAATTGCTTCTCGGAGTACAAATTTCACTTCCATCCCACAGCAATTTATGCTCTGTTCAAAATTTCTTTTGATGAATCTAGATACCCACGTCAACTCCATGAAATATAATTGAAAAAATATATTTTCAAGCCAATAATTGAAAAATATTCTAAATCAATATGTACGTACCTGTTATATGTATTCCCCACATTAATCAAAATATCAAAATTTAGTTGTGTATCGATATTTATTTCTTTTTTACTCAAACTTTTCTGAACATTTCTATTTATATTTCTAGTATTGAAAAATTAAATAAAATGGGCTTTAATGTAATTTCATATTATCCGGTACTTTTTCAGTTCTTTTGCCAAACGGGTTTACTCTATTCAGCTAGTAATTCAGATCCAGCACTTGATAATTCAACTCCAGACAATAGTCTATGATTCAGACAATAGTCCCCAGTTCAGACATTAGTCTCCAGCTCCAGTTCGTTGTGCCAAACATAGCCTTAATCAAATCGATTTAATCATTCAGTTTATTTACGACTTAATTGAAAGCACGATTTAGTAAAAAATTAACTTAATCATTGAGCTATAATAGATGTTTAGATGTCGATTAAGGTCTTCTATTCAGGCATTCAGCCAACCTTTTTAAATCGATTGTGGAATGGATGTATGTTAATAAATAACATGGTTCATGAACGATGTAATGCAATAATAATAATATTAAATTAAATTGATTACTCGATGCGGTTTTGTTTATTCAAAATATGAAGTAAACATCCTTCTTAACAAAATCGCTTAATCCAGATACATAATTTAATCCAAATACAACTAAATAGAAAAATGTAAATGACCCCTTGGACCTCTTTGGGCTCTTTCTTATTATCATGTAAACAATTTTAAAAAAAAATGATCAAATAAATTAAATGAGCAATCAATTGAAATAAAAAGATCAAATAATTTAAAAATAAAAATAAAAATAAGAACAACTCTTGAATTTGTTTGGTCTTTTATAATGAAATTTATTTTTTGCATCCAAACCAACACACACATAAGGTGTTTGCTTTGCCGTTAGCAATCCAACCTAGGGGTGGACCCGATCTGAGTCCGAGATTGGACTGCCCAGGTACCTGAAACTAGCCTAGACCAGGAAAAAATAGTAGGTCAGGCTCGAGCCTCAACAAAATATTGCTAGAACCGAAAGTCTCAGCCCAAAACCAAGACCGAACCAGGCGGTCTCAGCCCCGAAACCAGGATTGGACCGACCCGGATCCACCCCTAATCCAACATAATCAAATGAACATTAACAGAATAATATTCCCCTCTCGTGTAGTTTTTTTTTTGTTGAGAACGTTTATGAAGATTTTTTTTCTCGAAATGTCATTAGCATTTAGGCATTTACTCCAGCTTCGTGGTGTATTAATGTTGCGAACTTAGCGCCATGTGTTAACATTTAATTAACACCAGATAAAGATCAAGACATCAAGTTATTTGTACTCTGAGTTTAAGAAATAACAACAGCAACACAACAATAATATAGTAATAATAGTAGTAGTAATAATAGTAATAACAACAACAATAACAATAATAATAACTTTTCTTATCCTAATAAAATACCATTTCTACAGCAGCGGCGGCGGCAGCAACAACAACAACAATAGCACGGCGGCAACAATAGCAATAAACTAACAATGTGGAGTAATGATAACAATAAATGAAAATACTAACAATCAATCCCATACCACAAGCTACTGCATAGCAAAGTGCATGTATTTAATTTAAAGGTAGCCTCCCGGAATCCTCGCACACACTTTTACAATTTTACGACTAAATATCTTTAATTTATTCTGCCTTGGCCCTCTCTGAAAAACGAAAGAGGGTATGTTTGCTTATAAAGAAGACACATTTATAGAATGTGGCTGGGGAGGGAGGGCTCAACGGAACTTGGATAAGGTTGACTGGAACAATTCAAAGAAGGGCTGAGAGGTGGTTTGATCATCGGCTTTAATCTTTACGTGCGCTTTGGAAGATGCTGAATTAGCTACAAGCTCCACCAAATAGGTGCACAGGTGGTCATCCTGGGCGAAGAAGAAGAACTTGAAGGTAGGGGCTTGACCTCCTGAAGCTATACAGTTTATTGAGTTTCCTTGCATGTGCTTTATTAAGGACTGTGGAGTTGTTAGTGCGGCCACTCCTTGCGGATTCATCAATATCTCCTGCCCAATTCACACATACAGAAAGAGAGAATGACAAAAAACTCTTGTGATGTACAGGCGGTGGCTAATAAACAAAATCAAAGTTAAAAATCAGTGTATAATTTTTGAGGAGTTGTATTTTCAATTAAAGTTGGGGCAATTCTGAGGACTTGTATTTTCAATTAAACTCTTTTCAATTTTTGAGTCAAATTTGTTCTCCTGTAAGAAAGTGAAATCAATGTGGTTGATATTAAATTAGAAAGAGAAAACAATATCAATCACATAATCTTTTTCTGAAAGGGAGAAAGAAGAAAACTTGGCAAATATCAATCACTTTTGTTGGTATTAAAACAGATCAATCCCAAAGTCCCTTTTTTAATATGAACCACATCCATCAATAACTATTCTCATCCACACATAAACTTTTAAACTCTTCCACTTTCTTCCCTCTTTTGAGCCAAATGAAAGCTGAAACCTAGGCCTAATGCGAAATGCATGCAAAGAAACCACCCTTGACAGGACAAATGTGGTGTATCATTCGTGCGGAGAAGGAAAACAAAACATAATCTGAACCTGTGATATTGATATTGGAAGCTGTCGCCATTTCTGCTGAAAAACATTTGGAGCCAAAACAGCTTTAGGAGCAAGTGACACAGTGTGAGGTGAAAGAGGAGCAGGGCTTGCTATAGCCGGCAACTCTAAGCCTAGAAGGTCATCGATGGCAAAACTGGTAGAAGATGCAGTAGCGGTGGATTTGTAATTGTAATCTAAGGAAACAAGATCCGTACGGGACTCTGTAGCATTTGTATTATATTCTGAACCATAGTTGTTGCAAGGTGTTTTGCTTTCTTTTATTTCTGAAATACTTGGTAGTAAATCCTTGTCATTTGCATTCACTAACTCAGCTGAAGCCACTGAAGCCATATTATCAGTGGGCTCTTCCGCAATAGACAAATGCTCAAGTTCTTCTGAGAAGGCAAATGGCCCTCTATGTTCCTTGTCAGTAAACATGTACGAGGGCTGCAAAGTTTTCAGTTGTTAGAACACTTCTATAAAGTACTGTTAAGATGTGCTCTTGTTGACGGTTATACTAAAAAGCAGTATAGCTTTGATAATATGGAACCTGTTTAACAAGGGTGATTTGGCTCACATGATTGAAACTGCTAAATTTTTGCAAAGAAAAAGTGTTTGGCAACACCTTGAGCCAAATAAAAAAGTCAAAGCTACTCATTCTGCAATATAAGACTACCTAAAAGAGCCATAGTTACAAAGTGCTCTTTAATTGGAACTTATGTATATGCAGTCCTCTCAAAAGCACTCTTGGAAGAAACCTATCAGGTCTTCAAGTGCTTCTTTCAAAAGCACTTTTGAGTTTTGAGTGCCAAGTTAGTTTTTGAAAGAACTTTTCTAAATGTTGTCAAAGTATCAACTTTACATGTAAAAGCACTTTGGACCCATTACAAGCACTTTAGAGAATGTCTACAAGCACATCCAAACAGGCTCTTATTAAGGCTAGCTTCAACGTTTTTTCATCGATAGTTACCAGGTGTTTTGCTTCTCTCACAAATTACAATAAGTAGAAAATCATACTAAGCCTTAAGATGAGCATACTATTCTTAATTCTTATTGAATAAATCGGGTCGTGATAAAAAATCAAGGATCGATAATCACCACAAAAGTATTCCTGATAATAGAAACCAGAAAACAGGCACCAGTATTACCTTCTGATATACAACAGAGAGACTGTTAAATTCATCAAAAATGCGATCTTTGATTTCACTACTCTGTGTATCGGCAAAAACCGAAACAGCTTGCTTTGGAGGATTCACCACACGTTCTGCCAGAGAAACATTGTACTGAAGGAGTCTATAGTAGAACAAAGCCCTATCATGAACATCCTACAAATTCAAAGACCGAGCTCAATTAGTTGGGATTAAGGAGCTGATGATGGTGAGCATAGTTAAACTTGGTCTAACCCACCCAAAAGGATACTCAAGAGGTGTGATGTACTGACGTTGGCCTCACATTTATTTAAGTATTTGTATAATAGACTTAAACCCTGCTTATATCATTATATGCTCAACTTAAACCTAGTAGATAACTGATCCCTCAGCCCAAGCCGGAAAGATACCTGAAAAAATGGACCCCAACCGAGCTCTTAGGGAGGTATCCTACGTGGCACACTTTCATTGGCTAAGACATATGATCATCGTCCAAACAGTGTGTATCATACTTCCTGGAACACCCACATTTAAAGTCTCCTTACCCTTACTCATATTATTATACTATGTTAAATTGGGCATACATGGCCATCCTCGAGAGGTGTATATAGTTATATACTAGAGTACTAGACTAAAGCCTAGTTGACAACTAATGTAGGAAACTCAACAATAACAATGGGGGCAGTTTTGTAAATAATAAAGACAAGACCTGGAAAAATACAACTACTCAAGTACAGACCTGATGAAAATCACTAATGCCAGCCGCCAATGCAGCACCCAAAGCCATCCGTGTCTCTGGTGGTCGTCTTAGGAAACATTTCATTACTGCTGTTAGTAAATGTAAGCGGACCTGCATATTTACAATGTGTTGAATACTGTAAACACAGTAATAAAACAGACTGCTTGAAAACGTCTTAAGCAAACCTGCTTAGTACATATGGCTTCATTACTGTAAATACCATTTTTTAATACTCCCGATGAATCTAGTCAATTAAGATTTATCTTAAAAACATTTCAAGGATAATAAGTTACTTGTGAGGGTGCAGTAGAAGATGCTTAATACCTAGTGACAATTAATTGAGGGTGCAGTAGAAGATGCTTAATACCTAGTGACAATTAATTGATTAAAATTAGTCAATCTTATAAACTCATGCAAAATAACATATCAGTAAAGTTCACAGGATGTCCATCATGCCGCAATCTTCCGAAAGAGGAATAATCAATTGAAATCCGAAAAACTGCCATCATTACAGAGTTTCTGTACTTACATAGTTACATGGAGAATATTATTAGGGGGAAAGGTTTAGATAGCAATTATAGTTATGTCAAAAAAAAAAAAAAAAATTAAAAAAAAAAAGCAATTATAGTTATGTCCCTTCATAAAATTGATACCTCCCTTTATCTATATTTCTTTTTCCAGCTTATATTGTTTCTCTCTTCTGCAAAAATCTAAACCACATACTTTCCAGTTCTTTATTTCTCATGAGTCGTGATATTAAAGGGGTGTTTGGATGTGCTTTTTAAAACTGCTTCTGCTCATTCAGTATGAAGAAGCAGTTATTGGAGTGTTTAGTTGAAACTTCTGCTTCTGCTTTAAAAAAGAAGCAGAAACAGAATCAAATCCGAACACCCCCTAAAACTTGGCAAAGATGTAGGGACATAGGAAATATTATAAAATCAACATGCACATAAAATGGATATTGTATTACCAAAATTCATATTGTCATGGAAAATAACATCATGATATAAATTTTTAAAGGGAGATTTTGACATTGTACACCATATTTTAGGCAATATTGGACTCTGCATCCTATTTTGAGAAAAAATAATGAATGCACTCTGTGGGTTCCAAAGTTTGCGAAAGAATGAGGTGCTAAACTGCAAACATTATATTTTTTAATCAGATGGGTGCACATTATGTTTTTTGAAAATGGGGTGCAAAGTCCAAATGTTACCAAAATATGGGGTGTAAAGTCAAATCCCCCTATATAGAAAAACATGCGGAGTAGTTTAGTTTTTTGTGTGCAGTAGGAGTAAGCAAATAAAGGTAAATGGACTTTATAAAGAACCTAAATATATGGTCATCCGACTAATTTTTTTCATCAATCTCAGGAATACCTCACTTTGGAAAGTAGAATACGGGCCATATCTAACAGTGGGTCACTAACACAAATATTTCAAATATGTTAGTTTGAAAACAATGGTTGATTGAAAGTACAAGCTAACATGATCTTACCTCTGCGGAGTGCTCCTCTTCCCAATTCTCGACAAGACTTTCTAATGTGTAAGGAGCATCCTGCATGTCTTGAGCATACTCCCCTAGCATCCAAATAAGTGCTGCCTTAGCTTTGGGTTCCTGGATATTTTTGCTACTACTATTCCCAACAACTGCTATGCAATCATGACTCCATTGAGGATATTTTCGGAGAAGATCTTTCACAAGTACCTAAAAGAAAAACTATACATTGTTTCATCTAGTCAACAATAGCACAATGCAGCCTTTATGTTACCTCAGACATCTTATACAACTTCATAGATATTAAACGCATAAGCTCCCGCCTTTGAGGTGGTTTAAGTAATTTGATTGTATAGAAGCAAAGGGGAAAGACACTTCCTAAATATTTAGTCGGAAGGAAAAGCATCTTCTTGGGGGCTAAGCATCCATCATGAAATGGTCGCTCGAGTAGAACTAAAGGGTACTTTCATACCCCCGCATCCCACAAAATGAAAGTCGCACTTCATCAAATTACATCTTATGAATTTTAACAAGGCACATACCTTAAAGTTTTCAATCATATATATTTAAGAGAATATTACCATTAGCCTTTGAGGTTAGGTCATAATTACGAGTTCAATATTGTGTTTTCAATCGAGTTTTGATTATTCTCACCGTTACCCCTGCCATCATTATTAATCTCATTTAACTTCCTAAAACTGCCAAATCTAACTAAGGTTATCTAATTGATCAGTTATTAAGAGTCAAAACAACTCACCATCACAAATATAATTCATAGTTATTCATTGTTCCTTCTTATTGGCAGAGAAATTACAAGTGACACATATTGCTGGTAACAGTAAACAAGAAGTGATTTGACTTTTAAGAGCTCATATTATAGATTAGATTTGAAGTTTATACAAATTAACACACAATGAACCTTATTCGATAATAAAGGTTGTCTACAATATTCACTCTTAAATGTCAAAACATTTCTCCTTCATCAATGTTGAAACCCTCGCCCTAGTTGCATTGGGCATAGCCCACTTTGTGTAGTTAGCCCTAGTTTTAGCTATAAATATAGCTATTGTTGTAATGTTTTCATTATCAATAATAAGAACTATATTTCACATGGTATCATAGTCAAAGTGGCTGATATTAGGTATTGTTGTCCTCCCGGCTTAGATTTCGGGAAAAACTTCCGGCGTGAATAGTGGCCGCGATTGGCATTAGAGTGATTTTTCTAATGATATAAACCAACCGTCGCGCTCAACACACCATCACGACCTACCGCCTAGAAACTAGCCGCCGCTGCACCATTCCATGAGAAATCTGCATTGCTCTTCACCAGATCTACTCTTCTGCGCTGCTCCGTTTTCGTCACCACTTATACCATAAGATAGGCCATCATCCGGCGACCTTCTGCAAAAGTTTTGGCGTAATTTCGCCGCTGACAGAACACACATGCACCACTACCGGACCTCGCCAGAAATTCCAAACCCTATATTATGCCCTTGAAGAACATGCCAACTTTCAGCATTTCATGTTGTTCTTTCACGAGACGAATTTGAAGATTACCAACGTTCAAAACAAGAAATCTTTCCCAAAGTTTGTCTAGAGCTTGTGTTTCAAACACTTCCAGTCAGTGGATTCTTGATTCAGGTGCTTCCGATCACATTTCTGGTAATTCTTATCTTTTATCAAATACATTTAAATCTTCACATTTACTGCATATCACCCTTGCTAATGGACATCAAACTCCGGCTATGGGAATAGGTCAGCTCTTCCACAATCCTCTTTACCCTTAGAATATGTCTAGTATGTTCCAAATAGTCCATCTAATCTTGTATCTACTAGCAAGATTACTCGTGCTGTCACCTGTTCATATAATCCTCCCATCTCTACTCGTCCTTTACAAGTCTACCATCGTCGCCCTCATCCTCCACTTGTGCAAACTACTCATGCTATCACTACCGATGAGTCCGCATATGTCATGCCTATTGATTCCCCTGCTACGAGTTCAACTTCCATGCAATCAGGTACCCCAAAGCCAGATGTCACTCTTGGTGATCTGCCCATTGCCCTTCGGAATGGGCAATCGTCGTCTCTCCACCCTTGCTATACATTTATTTCACACCTACCTGATGTGCATATTCCTAAAAGGCTAAAACCACACGTGAGGCATTGTCACATCTGGCGTGGCACAACGCCATATTGACTGAGATGGAAGCTCTACATTCTAGTGGGACGTGGGAATTAGTTCCCCTTCTTTCTGGATAATCAGTGGTTAACTATCGGTGGATTTATACTGTTAAGGTTGGACCTGACAGAAAAAATAACCATTGTAAAGCACGACTTGTAGAGAAGGGGTATACTCAAATTTATGGGTTGGATTCTACTGATACATATTCTCCTTTGGTCAAAATGGCATTTATTCGTTTACGTTTGTCTATGAGGCCATGAGTCACTGGCCATTGCACCAATTGGTTTTAAAGATGTTTTTCTACATGGTGATCTCGAGGAGGAAGTTTATATAGAGCAACCATCGGGTTTTGTTGCTCGTAATGGAAATATGAGCAATGCACATTGCATCTAACCTAGTATTTCATGAGTGGACAAAAAATGTTGAGGTTGAATGGCACTTCATCCGGGAGAAGATTTTAAACCGACAAATTATCACGAGTTATGTCAGCAAGATAGATGAACTTGCAGATGTTTTAACAAAATCTCTTTGAGGTCCAAGAATAGATTGCATTTGTAACAAGCTTGGTGCATGTAATTTATATGCTCCAACTTCAGGAGTGTTGAACCCTAACCGTAGTTGCATTGGGCTTAGCCCACTTTGTATAGTTAGCCCTAGTTGTAGCTATAATATAACTATTGTTGTAATGTATTCATATCAATAATCAGAATGAGAGTTATATTTCACAATCAGTACAAGTCATGACTATTACATGTCATTCCACTACATAAGCTAATCTCAATGAAATTTCTTCCGTGAGTAGGAAAAAAAGAAGTAAAGTGCATCAACTATGGTAATGAATTGTTTTGACTTTTATGAGCGCATATTTTAGACAACCTTAGTCAGATTTGAAAATATATGATGCAAACGGGATAAATATTAAAAGGAGGGTACACAACGAGAATAGTCAAAACTTGAAGATAAATAACCTACTTTTGAAAACATGGGGTTGAACTAATAAATATGAGCTAACCTCAAGGGGATTATTATTTGACATATTTGACTTAAAAGGTGTTTGGAAGAATGCAAAATAATTACTTAATGCAAAAGGATTACACCATTTGTTTTGATTATTTAATGTAAACTCTAGGACATTTTTTGATGCATTTCGCATTGTACAATGTAAAATATTTAACATGGGGGGTGGTGGTAAAATACTTTGCATGCTTTTTATAAAGTACTGCATAGACTTTGCATGTAATTTAAAAGTAAATTACACACATAACCAAACAATGTATTTTTATTTTGGGAAAAAGGTCAAATAAGGTCATGTACTCAATAGTGTCATATAAATACGTCTACTTATAAAAAGCAATCGGATGAGTCATAATGACCTAATGACAACCTCCTAATCCCGATTTTAGCATACGCCTGACTATCTTTTTAGAATAGCTTATAAGGCAGATGTGGAATATTTAGCTAAGATTGGTTGAAATACAAAGCAAAACCAATGACATGTAAGCTAAAATCGGGATTATGAGGCAACAAGTCATTAGGACTCATCCGATTGCTTTTTATAAGTAGACGTATTTATATGACACTTTATTGAATACATGACCTTATGTGATGATTCCGTAATAGTAGAAGACCTTATTTGACCCTTTTCTCTTTTATTTTAGATTGCAAAGTTAGTGATTCCCTAAACTTGCATGCAACCATTTTGTGTTCAAAGTTTTGGCGTGCAAATTACCAAACGAGCCCTTAATGTTAACACTTATTTTGTTGAAATATGACTTTTTTTCGGAAGAAAATAACTTAGGAACCTTTTTTGGTTTGGAATGAGATTTTTTAACAAACACATGGAAGTTGAAAATTGTCAACGTTATGGGTATATGCACTTCACCTCATGCCTGATTGTGTATATAATACTTAATCAGTTAATCCAGGAAATGAAATGGTTGAATGGGCTCTATGAAGTAAAATCCATAGCTTACCAGAGCCTCAGCAGTCACATGATCCTTTTCCATTTCCAGAAACTGAAGCAGCCGGTCAACAATAGCGTTTACATCATATTGTTGTAAAGCAATTTTACCAACAGCCCTGATAGATTCCCTTGCCATAGGAATATCAACATTTGCAGCATACTCACACAGTTCAGACACTGAAATTGACAAAAAGGCAATTTGCGCATTTAATTAGGTGCTTCAACAAGCAACACCAACAAGGAAGATAAGAACTTGGGGATTCCCTTGCAATAATAAAATACCTTTTATATCTAATGAGGGGTATGGAATGATCCATATCAAATCTTTTGCAACATAAAATTTTAGACGTTGCGAATTGTCTGCATTTCTATTTATATTACTCCAAGGAGTCCTGGTGCCCCATTATTAGAGTAAAGCTAAGAGTATTACAGTACTTTTATTATAGAGATATATGGTAGGATGATCACCACTAGTTAGGGCAAGGATTGGGGCATCAATTTTTTATGGAAGCAACGCGTTGGCAGAGATGTCGGCTATAAAATCAAATCCTAGTGGAAGCGATAACATCTGAGTTTCTGGCAGTTAAAAGAGCAGACAGTGTAGGATGTGAGAATGTATCTTCTGGCTCCACAACTTCCATCATCATTCATCACAATTATAATAAAAACCCTTGGCCTGTCCTGCTTCCGCATCAGCACATGATAATTGTTTCCGCACGGGGTTAAGCATATGTCATGCTGGGTAATTTCAGTAAAAGTGAATTTCATAGTGACAGAACCAAGATCCTCTATGAAGGTTACAAAAGTTTGTGTTGGAGGAGTAACGAAAGCAAGTTGCTTTGTAGCAGAAGTATGACCTTCCATGGTGGTAGAGCCGTAGACTGGTAGACTCAGAGATAGACTCAATTTTATAAGTTTCCCCCCAAACATTCTTGCATACTCTACGCTAAATTTCACTATGTTGGACTATTTCCCTGGCGTCATTATCAATTATTGTTCATGCTAGAAAAGCTGGAAGTAAAAGTTGGCTGAAAGTTTTTTTTTTCTTTTTCTGTTTTTTTAACTTACTTTAAATTGAGGCACTTTTTTACAGCAGAGGGGCATTTAAAATTAAATTCAAAATTGCTAGATGACCGACTAATCGACTAGCAAAACAAAAAAGTAAAACAGCGACCTTGGGTGATGGAACAGATCAGTAAGCGTGTGTGGCTTCCTGGTGAAGATGAGCTGCCAGATCTGAAGTTGCCTCGATGGTTGATGGATTCTGATAGTTTGCTACGGTGAGTCTGGAAAATTTGTTACTCTAGCGGGAAAGATGGCACCGGATATCATTTCTTTCTGTCTGAACTCTGTCCTTACTAATCGACCCCCCCCCCCTTACCCCACCGTAGGTGGGAGCCTTTGCGGCACTGGGGTAATGATTATGATGAACTCTGGTTTCTCAGGGTCGTCTCTCTCTACTCTTTCCCCAGATTTTGGGCAGGAAAAAAATGATAACAAAAGGGTAGGGTATAAGACAGAAAGCGGTAGGACCTCGATGAGCCTGATACCAAATTTTTATGGATAAGGTTAGGAGATAAAAAGAAGATTGAATCAATTAACATGAACAACTTCTCTGTTTTAGGCAAGAGAAGGTGACGTCTGAACTCCGAACTTGTCAAGGCTCCAAGGAATAACTTCAAAATTGTAGATGATATCATGAATGAATAGAACACATCTATTTATACTACGCCCATCTATTTATACTACGCCCAAGGGTCTTGCTTGTCCCATATTAATATTAAAAGCCTGTTTGGTAACCCTGAAATTGGTTGAATCTGCTGAAATTGATAAATTTATGGTTGAAACGACTAAATTGGCGAAATCAATTGAATAAATGGATAGAATGTAATAATGTATTTAACATATATTTTGTTAATATATAAAGAAAAATACATATACAAATAGCTAAATGATACTCTACAATGGTTTTAGTCAATCCAACCAGAAAAGTAACTCCAACCTTACTTATTTTGATTACTAACAACTCAGCGCGCACAATCAAAGGTTATGTGTTTGGTAAAAAATGTTGGCTGATATAGAAGGTGAAAATAAAGATTACCAAACAGGCTCTGAGTAACCATAAATCTATTGCAATACTTTGATAAAAAAAAAAATCTAATGCAATACTTTTACTAAGAATATTAACAAAAAATAGAATACTCATACTAATAGGAAACTAATACTACTACTACTACTAATGATGATGATGATAGGAAACTAATAATAATAATAATAATAGCAACAAGTACAACAACAAAAATAATAATAACAACAATTAAAGAGATACATCCATATCAGCTTCAAATATTACTGCTCCTAGAGGCTAGAACACCATTAATGTTTGATCAGTTCGGATTATACTGACCAATTTCGTAGGTATTGATTTCATTTGCCACTGCAGTTAACATCTCAAGCTTCAACTTTTTCACATAAAATGGTTCATTGTACTGGCAGTAAAAGTGTTTGAAGTCTGATGAAAATACATAAGGTGCACGCATCACTAGCAGATGCAAGTGGCTTAATACGGCATAAGATTGCTCTGGACTTCCTGAGCTCACTAGTGTAAGTAGGGGGGCTTTAATGCGCTCATATACCTAAACACAAGCACCACAAAGAAAATATTAAGTAATAAGATGTTTCCATCTTTTTTAAGCCAGAACAGAGAAAGGCTATCATCATCATTTTCATTTACCCCAGTGCCGCAAAGGCTCCCACCTACAGTGGGGTAAGGGGGGGTCGGATGTACGCAGTCTTACCCCGTACTAAAGCACAGAGAGACTGTTTCCAGGTGACCCATAGTGAAAATCGCGTCCAAAATTGCATGGACTGACTGCTGCTTCATAACAAAGAAGCGCAGACAGTTTAGTGAGCCATTTTGCTTTATTCCATCATATTCTCAAGCCAAAAAATAATGAATCTTTGGCTCCATTGCAAATGATGGAAAAAGAACAGAGAAAGGCTGAATAATAAAAAGAAAACGTCTCTATGACTAGAAAGTAGAAACTTCCCATTTAACACTTATAGTGATGCATAAAAAAGAATACTACTTCAATATCATTATATGTTCAAAAGCACTAAATACTAGTGACAGTTTGTCATCTAGTATACCCAAGCGTGCTTTTGGCAATCGGTAGATATTTAATATTTCGGTTCAAGATGAAAGAAATTTACTTTCCCTTCAGCTGCATGTAAAAGTATCAATTCTAAGGCATGTTTCTATAGTTTGATTACATTTTTAATAAGCAAGACTAGATATCCCATTCTACATCTAGAAAGTAATTTCCTTATCCACAATATTTGGTAACGTAACTTTTATCACATAAACGTACTGGCAAAATTTCAATAGTCAAGATTTTTAAAAACAACAGTGCAACCAATTACAATGTGAAGTTGAATTTAAAAAAATTAGCGCAACAGATCAACACCTAAAAGGGGATTTTAGATGAAAGAGAAATCAATAAAAGCTTAAACAGTGGCACCCTATAATTAAAACATATCTCCATAAGTTGAATAACACTTATATGCTGCATTATTATAGCCTTATAGACACCTGTTGATGAACATCAGTCATGGACAGTGTCAACTGTAGAAACAGCTTGATAGTTGATAAGACAACAGCTCCGTTAGCATGTTGGAGCCTATCTTCGAGAACATTCATAATGTCAAATATCTCATTACTATCTGAGGGCACATATTTGGCAACCAACTCAAGGACAATACATTGCGCCCATTCATTAAATTCCTTGATCCTACACAGTCAAATAGAAAGATGAAGAGAGAATTCCTTAATAGGAGTAAAAACATTTTGAAATTCCAAAATAGGAGTATCATGTTTTTTATTCCCTAAATAGGAGTAAATTTCTGCAAAGTTTGGCATTACCAGGCTTTTAAACATGGCATTTTCTTTCAAACTTGGCATATCACTCCTATTCAGGGAATAAAAAACATGATACTCCTATTTTGGAATTTTAAAACGTTTTTACTCCTATTTAGGACAATTTCTGAAAGATGAAATATCCGAAAAGAAAAAGAAGATAGAGCCATTGAGGGAGAACAAAAAGCTGGAGAGAGATAAGAGCATGATAACTTAAGAAATTAGTTCACTATTGATTGAGCATAGTTCATTTCTAAAGTGAAATGAATGATGACAAAGAAATTAGAGAGTTGATTTATGGCTGGGGAGCATGGACAGGAAAAATGAGCTATGTTACATTTCTTGACATGTTCCCCACTTGAGTGTTTGGATAAACTATTTGGAAAAAATGATATTACAAGAAGTGTTTTATAGTTTAGCAGAATGCGGTCTTGATGTGCTGGAAAAATAATATTTTGGGAACATATTATATGCAAAATGGATAAGAATGAAAAAATGAGCTTATCAGAGGGAATTATGATCTAAACATAGCATAATGCCAAAAAAAATGGACATGAATAATCTCAACTATTAGTGATTTGCTTGAAATAATCCCAAGTATTAATTTTCTCAAAATAATCCCAACTATTGGAAAAAAATCTCAAAATACTCCAGTGACTTATAATACCCTGTAAGTTGCATACTTCCTCCGTATTTCAAAGTTCTCTACATTAGGTTTGGGCACAACATTTAAGGGGAAAATAATAGGGGTAATGAATAGTGTAGAAAAAGTAGGAGAGAAGGTGGAAAAGTATGAAAGAGAAGATAAAAAGTAGGAAAAGTAAGGGTAATTGAGTATTTTTAAAGGGAAAAACTTACCAAAAAGGGAAAGTGTAGCAAACTTTTAAATACATCCAAAAAAAGGAAAGTGTAGCAAACTTTAAAATACGGAGGGAGTATAATCTTTAAGAGCCAATGGAGTATTTTGAGAAGTTTTTTCAATAGTTGGGATTATTTTGAGATAATTGATACCACATGTAGCTTCTAGACCGTAGCATTTTGTGAGTGTTTTAAGCTTTATCAAAATGCTGAGGCGAACGCTGCAATAGTGTTCTACTTTAAAAGGCATTTTGGATTTTTGGGAACCAAACTCTTAGCTACGCAGCCCCTTATTTTATTATGCAGATGAATTGGCCTTTAGTTCTATAACACGAACATGCAAACTTGCCAGGGTATAAATGCCAGTTTTTTGTAGTGCAATTATATGTGTGTGTGTGCGTGTGTGTCTTGGGGATGAAAGTTCTGAATTGCATACAATGAGATTTCTATGAAGAAAATCTCATGGCATGAAGAGAGTTCTGAATATCTTCCTACCAGAGAATAAAATTTTATACCACTTCAATAAAATTTTATACCATTTCAGTAGTTCGATATTACCTATTCAAAAGGTAATATATAGTTGGCTTGCTTAGCAATATCTCTCTGTCCCTTGATGCTTCCTCAGATTTTGATCCTTCCAAAATCCAAATCTCTTGTAGGGAAGACAAACAATTGGCAACAACCTGATGAGCAAGAAAGAGTAATTTAGTCAATAAGAAATCCAAATGCATCTGATTTGAACTTAGAAATCAAATAGAAAAAAATGAGGAGAGAAACACAAATATGTATTTCAGTTAAACTTCCTTACTATTGGTCGACTTAAATCCTATCCATAGTTCATCTCTATAAGTGTAAGAATGATATTGATGGAAGATATCTGTGCAATAATGAGACTGTATGTAGAAGGAAATATTCCAGGTCATGAAATTGCATGGTATTGGTAGTTTCAAGATCTAACTGTAAGGGAAGTTTCAATCAACTACTCTAATAAGGGAGCACAAGTTTTACGGATTGGATTTCACATGCTTCAGTCCTTGACCATAGAGATGGGTTACTCATTTGCTTTGAGAAATGTAGGAGCTGCTTAAAATATAAAATCACTTTTTCTTGTCAGCCTTTTATAGTTCTACTTCAAATATATATATGCACTTTCTCTTAGGCTCTGCAATTAAAACTGCACAGTAAGTCAATCAGTGAACAATAACTTTTGGTTGATTGGAGTGCAACTGTCGAGTGTTGAATCATTTTAGTTTTAATACTCCGTATTATATAATGAATACACAATTACACACACGCCCATATTAATTTATATATTTCAACACACACATAGGAATTGACATCAGAGTGATAGATATCAATCTATGAGAAATTTAAGCAAAGCAAAATCAGTTCCCACGGATGAACTTTAGTGGTGTGTAAATTAGTCGGCAACCATTTTTCCTTGTTTTATACAAATGACAAAGAACAAGAATATAATAATTAAATAAAATTAGTTGACCTGTGAATCTGGGTCATTAAGCATCAATTGTTTAAGAAGTGTGGGAAAATCTGCATCGACACAAGTTGAAGCAGATATATGGTACAACTTTAGGACCCCTAATGCAGCAACTGTCCTTACATAACAGTTTGAATCCTTCAACCCTGAACCCAATGGGCCAACCAAGTACTCCACCAAATTTTCCACTCGAAGCGAACACAAACTCCTTAGAGCCAAACCCCTAATCATTGGGTCCTCATCCTTACAGTCCCTTTGAAGAAAATTTATCGTCAAAAGTGCAAGATCAGGATTGTACTTTGCATAGTTCCCAACATATAGGTAACACATCTTTTTTAGCACTATGTCTGAGGTCGCTGAGCACATAACCATTTCACTAAAAACCGATGACACGTCGATCCCAATAGTCATGTAAGAGATGACCTTTTTGAATAGCTCTCTCTTTGCATCATCAGCCCCAGGAGTTCGGCTTCCGGCTAGTTGCCGGAGCTGCAACTTCAAGTCTGACACTTCCCCTTTCCTGGAAAATCAAACAACATTAACATATTGGTTATTGGATCCATTATAACATTTTCCAATAATCATGAACTTCTAACACAAAGTAAACTTAATGATACAGTTATCACCTGTTCAGAAAAGATTCAAATTTGCATCCAAACAGAGCTTATAGCTTGAGCATTGTGCATATGTATCACTATATGTACTGTTAAGCAATAAAACTCGCACATTTTAACTTAGGTATCACTACCAGTCTACCTCCCTCAATTGTAAAGCAATCATGTTGCTTGATTGTCCCACAATTCCCCTGATGGGGAGGTGTCTTTCTTATGTTTTGTGTTGCTTCCTCTGTGAGTTTGTTCATTTTTCCGGGGTATGCCCATCCCAGACGAATTTGTACAGTCTCTTCTGATCAATATCAAAATTTTGCATCCAACAGATAGAATCGAAACACAACCTAGAAGAATTTCAAACATTTTCTCCACTTCAAGTTAAACTAAACGCAAACCCTATTTAAACTACACCTAAACTCTTTGATCATATTAACACAGGGATAAAGATGAGTAATGTCCCTTTCCGGACCAGTTCAAAAATGCGGACTGACCCAGCAGCTTTGAGTACTCAACTAAGAACAACCAAATTCAGCAGAACAGCGCATATGTATTGTCACCTAAACAAGTGAGACTCGAGTATACACAATGCATCTACATAAACACGATAAGATATTGATGAAGGGATACCCAGACGGCTGAGAAGGAGAAGGCGATCGTTGAGCATGAGCTGGAGGAGCCATGTTTAAGTGTAAACTGTATTCTTCGTCGTCTTTTTTGCTCCTGTCTAATGGCGAACAGCGACTTGGTGATTTTCTTTTGCTGCAGTGAGTTGAAGTATCCGGACATCCGGTGGTCAGATGTAAGATACTAAGATCTATTCAACTTCGTTTTTAGTGAGTTTTTTTTTTTCTTTCAAATTAATGCGGATTAATTAATTAATTACGTTTTTCTGTTAGGTTAAAACTATTTACGGATCTAGTGCTGGATTTAACCATGGTCGGAGAAAGTCGTCAAATCGTTTGACGACTTTCCCCCTACACCTGCAAAATCACAAACAGCCAGATTTCTACCAATTTAGAACATAAAAAACATGCTCACAAAACACATACATCACCACTAGTAACATACCAGTTACAAATAACATACAACACATAAGATTCATAACCAATAAAACACATACAGACATTCAATATTCATAACGAAATACATCAACGCATCATAAACAAATGAATAAGTACTAATAACACAATATTCACTTGTTTGCAGGTGGAAATACGTAATATAAAGTCAATTGTTTCTACAACATTCACTGTACATGAAAAACTCCAATACAAAAGACAAACCACAAACTCTCATCGTCTTCTTGATCGTCTTGGTCATGGAGATGTTGTTGTTGATGCATACGCCTACGCCTACGCCGATGTCGTGGTTGAAGAACAACGTTGTCATGCTTAGTCTGGGATGAAGAAGCTGCCGATGGACTAGATGTCGATGGCATAGAATCTTGAGATGGGGGCATATGCATAAGATAGTCGTAGTCGACTCGCCCCAACACATCTGAACACAAGGAAGCAATGCCCGTCAAAGCCTGACCGTACATGTCCACGTCATGCGTATCACTCACTGTGGCAGTCGCCCGCTGATGTATACGTTGTAAAGCTCGTGTTTGAAATATGAAACAAAATTATAATTACTTAGAAATAAATTAAAGCGTTAAATAAAGAACATGACTTACTTTAGTAATTAGTAATACACTCACTGTCAAGTGCAAAGCCAAGGAGCTAGGCTGATAATGGTGAGTAGGGAGTCTGAAAGAAGGAGACACAAACAATCGCGTGATGCTGTAATACCATCCCATGTAGTCTCCCGAAACAAATGGGACTAATGTCGGTGTCCCAGTCACAACAAGCTCAGCTTTCCTCTCCCATATAGTCACGTATCGGACATGTCTGAGTGCCCAATCCTCCGTATGCTTCCCACGCCAATCCACCTTATGAAGATCTACTTATGTGTCGATAGATACTGGAATGACCTGCTCATAGCCAAACTGTCGCAGTACACGATCGGGCAAATGAAGCTCAATAATGTCAAAACATATCAACGGCACACGTGCTCGCCATATGTGAGAATGCTGTAAAAGGAAACCTGGACCAAAGCGGTGATGGGCAGATATCTGGCATTTTCATCACGCTGGTGAAAACCTCAGCCATATTAGAAGTGATGATACTGTATCTGTAACTGCCATCATGGTGTAATGACCACATTTCCAAGGAAATGTTCCCCATAAATTGTCGTGCCTCCACCCGCATTTCTCCTATCTTCTTGAACCCACCATCAAACTTCTTTTTCTGATGTTGTCGTGCGGTCCAAACAAACAGATTTTTTAGGTGAGTGTCTTTGAAATGAGTGTGCACATTCGATGCAAGATGACGGGATACATAGCCTATGGTGCGCAAAAGGCTCCTCCCAAGTACTGCCCACCTCATTCATTGCCTTGATTATACCGGCATGTCGATCAGAAATGACACACAACTCCCTATCACTCACAAACTCCCTAATGCATGCCATAAACCATGGCCAACTGTCCCCATTCTTAGATTCACAAACTGCAAAGGCCAAAAGAAATAATTAGTTGTTTGTATCACTACCCATAGCCACGAGCAATGTACCTTTGTACTTCCCATACAAGTGTGTGCCATCAATAGTCAGTACGAGTCAACAATGCTTAAAACCATGTATTGAAGGCTTGAATGCCCAAAATACTCTCTGAAACTGCATATAACATGTGGGAGTAATAGGGGGTGGGTACCAGTGAACAACTTTCCCAGGATTGGAATGTGGGAGCGCTATCATGAAATGGGGCAATTCAGAATATGACTTCTCCCAACCGCCAAATATTTCAGCAATGGCATTTTGCTTGCCCATCCATGTGCGCCTGTATGATACCGTATAACCATACTTTTCCTTCAGCATCTCAATAATAGTATGCATTTTAAGGGAAAGATCAGGAAGAATGACAATCACATCTCTAGCAATGAAATCTGAAGGCATCGCCACATGATCAGTACTGTTGGTATTGCCAACACAAGTGGCAGAACGAGGTCCAGGATAACGCACAATTGTGAACATGTCTAGCTTTGCATTTTTCTTTGTGGCGCGAATTCTCCACCTGCAATCACGTTCCTTCTTCCTCTTGCACCCTGCACCTGATAAAATTGGTTCCGTTTAATAGAATACAAGCTCACCATATCCATATTGATGAGTTGTTCTTTGTTGTCAAACTAGTGACCAACCTCAAACTCACCTTCAGAACTTTTCACACCAGCTCCACTCATCCACGCATCATTAAAGCCGGATGGGAGATCATACAATCTAGTAAAGTGGCTAGACGGGACAGTTGCGGTGACAGTATCACCATCATCTTCATCATCATTGATGTTATCATCAGCATCATCATCAGTTCCCTGGCCATCGAAAAATGATGCACCATTGTGCAAATACCTCCCCTCTTCCTCTACAACCATGTCCAGTACAGCAGCATTTGAGGAGTTCCCTGGATTGACACCATGCCTAGATACAACAACATTTGATGTTGAGGGAGTAGCAGAAGCGTCACATATGGATTCCTCAATGTATATCTCCAGCGTGGACATACTCTGCATCCGAAGTATCAACCACATATTTGTGACAGCTAGCTCATCAACAAGTGGCATAAGCATGTAATTCCCCCCGTTAAGGGGAAATTTCATTTTCAATCGCAAAGAACGGTTCGGAGGAATCTGTGTAGCTACATGGATTTTTTGAGCATCTCGAGCAAACATGCGTCACGAGAAACAATAACAAAGCTGCTTCCACCACCTTCATGACGTATTTGGCCAGCTTCCTCAAATATGTTCCCTCCTTAATGACACACGATTGGAAAGTTGGAGAAACCATATTCTAATAAGAATACATGTCCAAATTTCATGAGTACACATTAATATAAACACTTTATACACCCAAATTCATCATTTCATATTTAATAACATTAAAATGAATTAATTAAGAACATTTAAAAATCAAATATTCTATGCACCAACATTAATATGATTAATATGCCCAATTGAACATATCATATTTCAAACCATTGATATGATATAATTAAAAAAACACTTCAAAATCAAATGTTATACACTTTAACATTTATATGTTAAATTTCCCCAATTCAAATTTTGATATAACAAGCCTTATTATACTTAACACAATGAAAACTTTACATCAATATCCACATTAAAATTCAACATTTCATACATACTCACATTACACAACAAATCAATTCACAAATCAATTCATAGTTTTCAAATTCGAAATTTAGACATTATAAACCCCAAGTTGAAAAAATAGATGAAGTTGGGGATTTTACTTACCTAGGGGTTGAAGAAGATGGCTGGGGAGTATCCTTGGTAGGTGGAGTGACCTCCTACACGCTGCAGTCGCCGGAATCGGGAAGGGGAAGCTACTTTCGCCGGAGGTTTTTTTGGGGTATGCTGCGCTCGATCTGTCTGTCTGTGGTGATGCCCGTCTGTTTTTTAAAGGGTAAGTCGTCAAACGGTTTGGCGACTTATAAGTCGCCAAACCGTTTGGCGACTTTGCCTAACCCGAGTTAGGCCCAACCGTATATCCGTAAATACTTTTAACCCAACAACATTTACGTAATTAGTTTTTTAATCCGCATTAATTCGGAAAATTTCTCATTTTTAGTTTGGAAAATGGATTATTTTTTTTGTAAACGCTCAAACATGTGAATATACCATTGGCAAAATAGAAATTAATAATCTCACCACAGTTCAATTTAATAATCTTATTGGTCGTCTTTGATTGATTGATGAGTGATGACTCGTTATTCCAGATTTTTTCTTTGCAAAACACTAAATCATAAATGTCATTGATGGATAATTCAACCTTGGGTAGGCGGAATCCGGGAAGGAGAGACTGAAAAGTGCTAAGTGTGAATTGAGTAAGAATTTCGGCATAGCCACATTAAGCTATGCGCAAGAAATCGAATCCATTTCCACAGGCTAGAAGGTGATAATTTATACTATAAAGGAAACGCTTGTTGGCCAAGAAAAAATATGTTATTTTAATAAGGAGGCGAGACGTGTAATACTTGATGCCCAAGTAAAATGTGTTAGTCTAATAATGTGGCGTCACGTGTAAAACTTGATTGGCAAGAGAATGGAGACAACTGTCTAATTGGTACAACGCTAACTAATTTGATCCCCTATGTACTAGACCGTGTGAGGGAGCAACACGTGTACGCCTAGAAACTTTTGTGCATAATATCCTGGGTGACCTCAGTCCTAGACAGCTATTGTGCTGATTACGTAATCTCAGTTATTTATGCAGGTCTTGAATATTGAAAACAGTTAAGTCCATAATGTTCTCTGAGGCCAAGGGCTCTGCGGACCTGGGCTCGGGGATAGTGCACTTACTTGAGAGGAGGGCATCCTCGGCTTGCTTAATTGGAGCTTAGATATTAAAAATAGCTAAGTCCATAATCTTCTGTGAGGTCACGAGATCTACGGAACTTGAACTCGGGGATAATGTATTCACTTGAGGAGAGGGTGGCCTAGGGTTGTTTAGTTAACATTTTTTTAGTTCTTTGACTTTGTGGGGCGCTTAGTTAACTTCAAGCTCAATCATAGTGCGAACTTTGGCATTGACCCCAGTAGGTGGCGAGCTCGGGCTCGGTTGGAGTTTGAACTTATCTTGATGATTTGAGAACTGATTTGGGAACCGGGCTCGGCGGACGCAGACTCAAGTTCAACTCTAGATTTGGACCTATCTAGATGATCTAAGAACTGATTTTAGGGACCAACCTCGGCGGCGCAGGCTCGTCCCCGATAGTAGTCTTGTATTTAGCGAT